TGAATCCCATAACTACAAATTATATGAAAAGTGTTAAACATCTGTCATAGTTTTCGACTTGGCAACGGTTAAGATATTGAGCTTAACAGAAGAGGTTTTTACATCAGAAAATTACTTGACATATGAGTCTGAATTTCATGGACGTGTTAGCACATACCTTGATGCTATTAGGATATATGTGATGCCTGAATCACTTGCACTTGGTCGAAACTCTACAACTAAAGACAATTCCATGCATGAGGTTCATTTCTTAAAGTCTCTTTCTCATATTCTTGTTCTTAACTATTTATGTTTCAAGCCTTATCTAAAAATGAATACTGATTATTCATGTTGTTTTAAAGTTAAAACTATCCTCATATATACTTGTGATTGAATTTTTTTTTCACTATAAGGGACATTTTTTTGACTTCCCGCCGTGGGCATCCAAAATATCAGGGCCGGCCCTGCTCAGGAAATAAACACACAAATTCATACATTCTACACGGATCGGGAAAAACCCATATGCCAGAAGTTCCAAATCCATCCATAGTTAAGTACTCATTAATCAATATGGAAACAGATGAAGAAGAAGCTTCAAGAATTGTTCCTTTTCAGCTTCAATTCGACAAGCCAGTAGCTTCCCAGGTTTCAAATATATGTACCCTTTAATCCTTTTCGAATCTGTATGAATCAATGCTGTGTCACTTATTCATGTACGAAATTTATACATGGTCAGTGGGTAGAAAATAAATCCTTCTAAGATTACTGTTGTTATGTGAATATTTGTGCGTTTTCTCTATCTTTGTTCAAAACCATTTAATGAAGTTCAAATTTTGAATGTTAACAAGGGTAAAAGAAGCCTATTTCTGTTAGATTTTTATGTACTTAACAAAGAAATATGGTTCAAAATTTAGAACATTACTAATTTTTAGAGCTGTGTTTGTGCACCCTTCTTATCTATTTTATTCTTCTTCATGATTTTCAAATCTTGAAGATCAATTGAGTTGAATGTAACCCGGAGTAGGATTCATTATAGTTCTGTCTTCGTGTGTGTGTGTGTGTGTGTTGGGTGTGATAAGGTCCACAAGGATAATATCTCTACCCAAATTCATGATTCAATCAAGGATATCAATCTCTGATTTTGTACGTTATTGTTGTAATCTCTTTTGTTTATTATTATTATTATTATCAATGTTTTCTATTCAATAGTCTTAATTAGGTTGATTTTTTTTGATTACCCTGGATATCCAACCCACTATGCTAGCCGACTAATCCCAGCCGCATTTGAACCTCCGTGGCCACAAGGGGATTTTTATTCCTTCTTAGATTTGAACCTGGGACCTGTAGGTATTTTTGACCGTTGGAGCCAAGCTCAAACCAATCAGGCACCACCCTTGTGGTTAATTTGTTTCCCTCTTAATGAGATGTAAATGCGTGTATAAATAGGCTCCATGGTTGTTAATAAAATTCATCAAAACCTTTTCATCTTTTATATGGTATCAGAGCATTGATCAATTTTATTCCCATCCAATTTCTCATCATGGCGAGGATGGCAATACCACCACCTCCGACATCCTTCCACCCCAAACACCACGACTAACAACCGCACCTCAAAACCTTATCTCAATAAGTGTCAATGGTGTCTTCATGATGGTCACGTCGTTTCTCAATGCTTCATCTTCAAACTACTCTTCCCTCACACAGGTTTTCCCATGTCTCCCCTCGGTCCGAATCCAACCCGAGTCTCTCGCTCGGCTCCTCAAACTAATGTTGCTACCTTTGCTAATTTCCCTTCCCCTTCATGGCTCATGGACAGCGGTGCCACTCACCATGTTACAAATGATTTGGCCAACCTAGCTTTACATACCCCTTATGACAGTTCCGATGATCTCATCATTGGTGATGGCTCGTCTCTGCCGATTTCTCATATTGATTCTTTATCTCTATCTACTTATCATAAATTATTTAAATTCTCCGTTGTTTTATTTGTACCATCTATATCTCGAAACATTCTCTCTATTTCTCAATTCTGCATGGAAAATAACGATCTTGTCGAATTCTTACCTACCTCTTTATGTATTAAGGATCACTCAACAGGCTTCACTCTCCTCCACGGGCCAACTAGTGTACCATCTATATCTCGAAACATTCTCTCTATTTCTCAATTCTGCATGGAAAATAACAATCTTGTCGAATTCTTACCTACCTCTTTCTGTATTAAGGATCGCTCAACAGGCTTCAATTTAGAAAACTCTCCTCCAAGGGCCAACTAGTGGGGGCATCTATGAATGGAGCCTATCACCTCTTCTCGTTCACTCAAGCATGGTCGTTCCTCCCACCAATTGGCATTACCGTCTGGGTCATCCCTCTATTGATATTATTAAAACCCTACGGAGTTAAGTGCCATTAAATCTTCCTTCATTTCAGTCTAGTTGTAACTCTTGCAATATCTATAGAAGTCATAAACTACCCTTCTCCAAGTCTACTCTTACTTCTACCACTCCGTTAGAACTATATTTACAGACGTTTGGACGACTCCTATTCTTTCATTTGACAATTTTAAATATTATGTCATTTTCGTTGACCATTTTACAAAATATATTTGGTTATACCCCCTCAAATAAAAATCGGACACTGCCCCAACTTTTCAACGCTTTTTTGCTTTAGTTGAAAAATTCTTCAATCGTCCTATTATTCAGTTATCCCCCGACAATGGCAGGGAATACCTCAAACTTACTCCTAATCTCTTAGCTAATAGCATCTCTCATCTCACCTCCCCACCCCATACACTCGAACATGATAGGTACGTCGAACGACGACATCTTCACATCATTGAAACGGGTCTCGCACTTTTATCACATGCCAACCTCCCTCTTAATTTTTGGCCCCACGCTTTTATAACGCCTACATATTTTATCAATCGTCTCCTTACTCCTACTCTCCACAATTTCTCTCCCTACCTCAAACTCTTCAATACCATCCCTAGTTACACCAAACTTCGGAGCTTTAGTTGTCTTTGTTATCCGTGGTTAAAACCATACAACACCCCACAAAACGCAACCAAAGTCCACCCCTTGTATATTTGTTGGTTACTCTCCCACTCAAAGTGCTAGTATTTTCTCGATCCAAGAACCAACAAAGTTTACACTTCTTGGCATGTCAAATTTATTGAGTCACAATTTTCTTACTCTACTCTATGTTCCGCATCATCCTCCTCCCCCCATATAAATGCTCATGAGTGGTGCACTCTTTCTCTACCTCTTATTCGCAACAATAATGTCGCCTTAACCACCTTCTAACATTCCCTCACCCACTTTAACTAATAGTCCTCCCTCAACCTCACATAATTCTATGTCCTCTCTTTCCCTTATTGTGCAAATCACTTCATCCCATCAAAGGACACCATCTTCCTCCATTGCATCCTCACCTACATCCTCCTCTCCATCCTCACCTCAACCAACTCGTACCATTATCATTCATATCACAAATAACATCATCAGACCTAAAATACCTTAACCATGTCTCTCTCCCTCCTCCTCACGCACCTACAAGTGCCACAAAAGCTCACAAAGACCCAACATGGTGTCAAGCCATGCAACTTGAATTTGATGTCCTTACCTGTAACAAAGCCTAGCACCTTGTTCCTCCTCATGCTTCTCAAAATATCGTTGGTTGTAGATGGGTATTTCGCATCAAATATAATCTAGATGGCTCCATTAAATGGTGCAAAGCCGACTTGTTGCATAGGGCTTTCACCAAAGCCCCGACATTGACTACTCCAAAATCTTTAGCCCAGTCGTAAAGCCCACGACTGTTCGCTTTGTTCTATCCCTAGCCGTTTGTCGTGGTTGGTCTCTCCGCCAACTCAACAAACAACGCATTTCTTCAAGGCACTCTTACCGAGAATGTTTACACGTCTCAACCTACAGGATTTATCGACAAAGAACATCCTAGCCATGTTTGTAAACTTAACAAAGTTATTTACGGCCTTAAACAAGCCCCGAGAGCTTGGTATCCGAACTTTAAACTTTTCTTCTATATTTTGGATGTCGAAACTCCATTTCCGATCCATCCCTATTTCTATACCAGCATGGTACTGTCATCATCTACCTCTTACGATATGTTGGATGATATTATTGTCATTGGCCCTTTTCCTTCTTACCTAACATATTTCTTCTCTACTCTCGCTCATTGCTTCTCCCTCAAAGACCTCGGTCTCCTCTCCTATTTTCTAGGTGTTGAAGTCGTCCCTAATTCCCAGGGTCTTTTTCTTAACCAAATGAAATATATTCATGATGTGCTAGTGAAGTATTACATGCATGACTCCAAACCAGTATTCACTCCCCTAGCTCTAAATCCACCCCTCACTTATGCCACGAACCCACCCATTCCCAACCATACAAAATATCGAGCCATTCTTGGAAGCTTACAATACCTCTCTTTCACTCGTCCATATGTTGCCTATGCTGTCAACAAACTATCACAATATATGCATTGCCCCTCTAATGATCATTGGCTTGCTCTTAGGCGATTATGACGATACTGAAATGGTACTTCTCACTATGATCTTCAACTCTACGGTAATTCTCCTTTAAGACTCCATGTCTTTACATATGCAGATTAGGCTTGGGACACAGATAACTACATTTCTACCACCGGTTACTTAGTCTATCTTGGTTGTAATCCAATTTCATGGAGCTCCAAGAAGGGCCTTGGCCCGTTCATCTACTAAGGCGAAATTTCGAGCAATTGCTGACACAACAACTGAAGTACTTTGGCTACGTTCCTTGCTTACAGAGCTTATGATACACATCAGCCTGCTATCTACTGTGATAAACTTGGTGCCACACGCTACTCTTCCAATCCTGTTTTTCACTCCCGCATGGAACATCTTGCACTGACCTTTCTCTTTGTTCTTGAACAAGTACAACTCTGCACAATTCGAGTTCATCACATTCCCGGTGATGATCAGTTAGCAGATGTCCTCACCAAACCATTACCTAAATCTCACTTCTATATGGTACTTGCCAAGGTTGGACTTTCCCAAAAGGACGTCCATCTTGAGGGGGCGTGATAAGGATAATATCTCTACCCAAATTCATGATTCAATCAAGGATACCAATCTCTGATTTTGATCCTCTACATTATAGTTGTAACATCTCTTTTGGGTTGATTTGTTTCCCTCTAATGAGATGTATAAATAGGCTCCATGGTTGTTAAGAAAATTCATATTTTCATCTCTTACAGGGGGTGGGGGTGGTGAGTGGACATATGTAGTTGTATATGTTTCTTTACTTTCTTTTCTGAAACTAACTACTCGATCCACCTGAGTCCAATCCTGAGAAACATTTTTGCAATTCTTTTCTACAATCTAAAGTAATGAAATTCAAATTTTGAAGATTAAAATAGCTGAATGGAATCCAGAGAAAGATTTGCTGGCTATGGTTACTGAGGATTCAAAGATTTTGTTGCACCGGTTTAATTGGCAGAGGCTATGGACTATCTCTCCAGGTCATTTCTACCTCTTATGATTAGTATTATTATTGAATTATTGTTTTTGAGCTCTGTGCATATATGTGTTGGTGATGGTTATGCAATTTGGATATAACTTGAATGAACTAGAAATGCATTTTACTTGACTAGTTTTTCTTTGAACATGGGCATTTTTTTGGAGATTTCTAAAATTATCTTGAGGTTTTAAGTTCAAACTCGTCACTTATGGGTTTCCAAGTGAACCACCACTGGTGATTTCCCAAGGGGGTATCAATTGGTGAGCAGTTAAGACCCCTCCTCTCCCTGTTTTACTGTACCTTTGCTTGAGGTTTCTCACACCAGGAATTTTTTTCCTTATGACGTGGTAATTTTTCTTAATGAAGATGTTGAGCATTTCTATTAAGGCAGATTGTGCATGGTAATTACATGTGTAGTGAAGAAATAAGTGCATGACATTGAGTTTCAAGTTTCCTTTCGTTTAAAAGTCTTGAGTTTTGGACGATGCAAAGTGGAAGAATACCAACTATTAGAACAACATGATTATGGGTGAGATATTATTTTCAATTTGGTTTGTATAAAAGTAGTTACGTGCACTAGAAAGCAAAAGGTTTAAAAAAAATTCAATCCTGTATTCTAAGTGATAATGCTTAGTTTGGATAATTTTAGTTGCTATTGGACCAAAATTTTTGGCCAGATCTTGTCTTGGATCGCCTTTTTTTCCTTCTGAAAATAGAACCTATATTTGAATAGTCCTTATGTTTATACCAATGTTGCAGCTAGTTGACTTTATGTTTTGCTTGTCATATTTTTAACTAAAAAGCAAATCCTTCTGTTGTTAATTTGCTTCGCACTAAGTTTATAGGAAGGTGCATAACATCTCTATGTTGGCGTCCGGATGGTAAAGCAATAGCTGTTGGGCTTCAAGATGGGTCAATCTCATTACATGATGTTGAGGTGCGTTGTTATATTTATTATAACTTTTAGATATTAACTAGGTTTGCATAAACTCTAAATTGAGATGATTTTAGTTTACGAGTGTCTAAGCTTATTTATAAGGCTAGTTAGGCATGCACATTAGGTGATTAATCTTTTGGAGGTTACCGCTGTATACAAGATGATGGATATGATAAAAGCAAGGAGGATGAAGTGCCAACAAACATGATGAGTCTTTGGTTTTGTTTGTCATTCAGGTTAAAGAGATATTTTCCTTATGGAACATGCGATTATATGAATAGGTTTGATTAGCATTTGTAGTGAAAAGCAATTAGTTTTATCAATCGAAACTTAAATCATTATCTTGAAAGCAAGGCTTGATCTAATTATGCAATGCTAAAGATGATTTTATTTAACTAAATAAAGAAAACAAATGATAAAGGTTAACACTTTTTAACGTAATATGTGAAAACAATGTAAAAGTAATGAAAATGAAAAGATGAGAAAGCAGCAAATAGAAAAGGGATTGCTCTAGGATTTGAAACCATGAGAAGTAAATCAAGCAAGTCAGTTTTATTTGTTTTTGATTTAAATTACGGAACTATGCCACTTATAGAGCTCGGTATAGGTAGGAAGACAACTAATGGTGCGTCTAATTGTACAAGTAATTCAAGAGACAAGAATGGAAGAAACTAAAGCTGTAAAGCATCAACTATGCCACACCTTGGGTGCGGGTAATGTGATCTTCACATCTGTGTCTTAACCCTTAAACTGCTGGGCTCGACATTGGCGGTAAGGCAACTAATGGTTCCTATTGAAGTGCAAGTAGTTGAAAATTAGTAGAATGCAATAATTGTAAAGGGCATATACTTTAAATCCATTTTCTGGTTGTGATTTATACTTTCAAAATCAACATTTTAGATTCCACATCTTATTTTACAACATTGTAGGGTCCACACTTTCATTTTGCAATGTTTAGTGTTCATACTTCCATTTATCATTTTTGCCATGCCAACACCACATCAAGAATTGAGGTACATTTGGACCCTAAAATGTTGATTTTGAAGTATGAATCGTAAACTGGAAACTGTCTCATGTACCTTTTCTATACAATTTCCCCCATTGAGAAGCATAAAGATTAATTCATCAAAAATCTATGTGTTCAATACATGTATATGATATGCCAACGTCAAACTAAATATAATAGAAAAGACAAAAAAACTTAGTTGCTTCATCTACTCTCGTAAGTAATCGTCAAGGCTTGAAAGCCATCATCTTCCAACTCTTATTCACGGGTGGTAGGATGACATTGAAGAAGAAAAGAAGGAAGAAAATGTGGTTTGATGTTGAGGAGGAGGGTTGAAAAGCCGATAATTGATGCAGATTCATACCCAAGTATTCCTTAAATAGTTGGAACGTTTGGGGAGTTTTATGTACTTCAAACTCTTCATCCTCATCTGTTCGACACAAAGTGCTTACTCTAGTCTAGGGGTTTTAAGTTATGTTGATCACAGTGTATTGTTACTCCGGCCGGTTGTAATGTTGTGCATGTAGTGAACTTCTGATAGATTTTTTAATCCCCTTTTTCATCTTATTTCTGTATATTTGCAACAATATATTTGCAACAAAAAAAATATAAAGCAAAATGCAATGCAATAACTCTTAGATGTATAATATATCCATAAACATTGAATGAGATAATATCGTGGCTGATCAGTCTTCATTTAACTGTAAAACCCCACTAAAGTTGAAGGGTAAGTTTTATACGACAATTGAGGGGAATTCTTGTACACATGAGGATTAATGGGTTAGAAATTAGGATAGTTTGGGGTAATTCCAGATTCCAATTATCAAAAAGCTGATGCAACACCGGTTGAAATGGTTTTGCCATCTTTATCTTGATCGTTGGATGCATCACGAGAAAGGGGGACTAGTATCAAGAGTATGTATCATTAGGAGAGGTGGGAGAATCATAAATTGACATGGGAAGTAGGTGCGAGAATATGTGGAACCCCCATGTCACTCTCCAAAAGAGCCCTTGAGGAGAAAGGGGAGGTTCCAACATATATACAAGAGAAATGGTCCAAGTCTAGCCGGTGTTGGACTCCAACAGTAGGCAAGAGGGATTTGAAGATCAAGGCATATTCATGTTTTAGACCCTTATTCTTTTTATAGTATCTATCTGGTTTCGTTCTTAGTCTATCCGTTACCTAGGATAAGTGGCTTGTTGTGTAGAAACATGAAAAATCTAAATAAAACTTCAGTTACCAATGAACCATTTATGGTTTATTCACTGATGGTGGTTCTGTTCAACTTGCTTCAGTAATTAACTTCAACAACATTAAAGTGACAAGTACACAAGGGAGTTTTTTCCCTTGGACCCACCTCCAAAGTTTGATAAATTTAGAGAGACAAAGGATAATAGTATATATGTGGTAAAAATATACTGCATGTTCCATTTCTCTTATTTATGCGTTGTGGTATGTGCATCTTTGATCCATACATCTTCCCAAATACTTACTTTACTAGAAGGGTCTTTGGGTCATGAGGTGCCTCTTTGTAAGCGATTCTGCAAACTGGGTCCACAATATGGACTACGCCCCATCACTTACCACGAAGGATTACATTTCTAAGAGCTAGCAAACATTTTCTCACTCCTATAGTGGTTACTCAATTGTGTTATGACCACAACTTTAACTATAAGCTGTATACCTGTCTGCAAAGAAATAATAAATTTTGTGATCTATAGATGAAAAACTATTTTATACAATTACCTTTGCCGTTTAATCCATTGTAATTTTTACCTTGAATCATGACTCTTCTGTTTTTGACCTATGTACATTGTATTAAGCAGAATGGGAAGCTGTTACGAAGCATGAAATCCCACACAACTGCTGTTGTATGCCTGAACTGGGAGGACGATGGAGGTGGAGAAATTGCAGTATGATTTCTTACGAATATCTATACCAAGTGACAAGTGTTGAACATTCTTAACACCCTTGCTTTTTCTGCTTTATTATTCCAATGATGAAGACAAAGTAAATAATGAAGAGAAAGGACATGATACAATCTTTTAACGTGCAATCTCTCTATCTACGGGTGTTCAGGATGACAACTTCTATATCTCAAAATATGAAGATCGAACTTCTCGTTTCTTTCCTCCTCCCCCAAGAGTTCCTCGGGTGCCTGGACTTGTGCCTGGAGAGACCGGTTTCATGGATGAAAGTGAAAATTTGTCACAAGAATTATCAAATTCTTCACATCAGCGATTTAACATCCTGTGCAGTGCAGATAAAGACGGAATCATAAGCTTTAGTATATTCGGCATATTTCCAATTGGGAGAACAGTAAGCTTGTTTTCATACATCCAAAGTTGCTTAGATTCTAGTTGTCCATATCCATTCTTCATTCTGTGTTTCCCACCATCTTTTCTCCTTGCTTCAAACAAATGTGACCCACAAATTGAAAATATTAAATGGATTAAAAGAATTTGGCCTGATCTTCAGAATAAGTATGGATTTTTATCTTGATTTATGTTTTGCTTACAAGATTTTTTTTGGTTGGATCGCAGGATATCCATGACCTTTCTGTTCTTTGTCCACTTGCAAACAAGCATGTCGATTGCAAACTGTTGAATGCTTCAATCTGTAAGGTATTACCTTAACCATGCAGATAGATTTCATTTTAGTTTCTATAGAAATACGATCAATTTTAAATGAATTTCGTTGAATTAAACTCAATCTTTATATGATGTCGTACTTGGATGATTAGTATCACCAATTTGAAGTTTTCTTAAACGGTTATGTCTTCAGGTGGCGTTCTCCAAAGATCTTTGTCATTTGACTGTATTATGCTCTGGGGAGCTTCAAGTTCCGGGGGATGATTTGCATGGTTTCCACTGCTTAACACTTGATACTTCAATATTCTATAGAAGGTAAATTTTCAAATTGGGATATGGTATGAAATTTGCTTCGTTTTCTTTTTTGGCATGTTTTGATGTTAAAGTTCATCATTACTAGCTTTATGTTATTAATCTTGATCCACAAGACTTTCTTGTTTTGTCAATGTTGGAGGGTGGTTGAGGTATTTGGCCTGTAGTCAAACAATTCTTTGAAACTATGTACGATCAAACTAGGCAAATCATGGGGATTGAGGTCTTATACAATAGTGTGATGTTTTATGATATTGTCTTTTCCATCTTAAAGAATGGTTTTAGTTTTCGCATAATATCTGGCAATCGTCTTTGTTTCTAAAAAATAAGCTATACAATGTATACATAGAAAACACAAAAACTAAGGGGGCGTTTGGTTCGTCGGAATCCACCGGAATCTGATGGAATTGGGATGGTCAATTCTGTTGACCAAATTCCATTCCAATGTTTGGTTACCCTTGAAATGGAATTGATGGGATTGAAATCCATCATTTGAAGGATTTAACCATTCCTTAGGGGAAGTGATGGAATTAAAATCTATTCCATCCAAAATTATGTAAATGCCAAAAATACCCCCATTACATTGTTTTAACCCTAGCCGCTCTATCTGTCTGGATTAAGATCAATTGTCGCTTGTTCTTCATTCTGAATAAACGATACTAATTATAAAAGTTTACCATTTTAACCCTCCAGATTGTATTTCAATAAACCCACCAGATTGTAATTCAAAGAAATACACAAGGTCTGAATCTTTAAATCATGTCTAATTTTACTTTATATTGCTCAGGATTTGCAGATTTAAGCAACTCAACTACAAAGTTAACCATTTATTAAAAAAAAAAAAGTTGCCATTTTTACAACAAAAAACTATTGAATATCATGCAGAATGAAGAAAACAAAGGTTGTTATGGCCTCCAATTCTACATAAATATGTGGTGGTTGATTCAGAAATAAAGCTGGAAGAAGACAATTCATCTTCCGAAATGACAATGCAAAGAATCCTGAAATAATCTGGAGCCTTAAATAGTTAAATTAGATGCGAACTATGAAGAAATCGAGAAGGCCGGGGATGTGTTTTGGGGTGGGGCGGGGTGATGGCAGGGGTTTCTTCCTCTTGCTTTCTCAATTATCGAGACCTTTTACTCCAAATTTGCCATAAGTAGGAGAGAAGAGTCTCAAGCAGGTGACGGAGGCCTCAATATTTTTTTGCTAACGTCTTTTTGTTAATTGATGGAGGAGGCAGTATCTTGTTTATGAAAGGATATAAGAGGAGATCTGATGGCTGAATAGGTAAACCCTCCTTTTAGAAATTAAGTCATGAACTTACTGTAAACAAACCCTTTCTGATAGCTGAGTGAATAAGCCATTAAACTTATTAAGCTGATTAAGCCTTTTACAAACGCCCCCTATGGATCCTACTGATGTATAAACCAAAAGTGCTTATATTAATTGTAGAATTATTTTTTTTATTTCACTCGTCTCAAAAGAGGGAGGTACAAAGGCTATATATACACAAAGAATATGAGAAGAAAAAGAAAGGATTTCTAAGATATTCACAGCAACAAATTACAAGGAGATATTACCCATAATCTCCAATTCCTATTTTACAATGATATCGAGTATCTTCAAGGATATTGAGTATCTTAACACTCCCCTTGAAGTTGGAGCATAGATGTTAATCATGCCCATCTTGTTACAAATAAAAAAGATTCGCAAACCAGGTAATGCTTTGGTAAAGACATCAGCAAGTTGTCTTCCTATTCAAACAAAGGGAGTTGAGATGATTCCATCTATTAAGCTTTTCACGAGTGAAATGGCAGTCAACCTTGATGTGTTTTGTTCTTTCTTGAAACACGAGATTGTTTGCACCGTGGATAGCCGCCTCATTGTCACAATGTAGGTTCATTGGTTTAGATTGAGCAAACCCAATTTCACCTAGCAGATTACGTAACCATATCAGCTCGCAAGTGGTCTGGGCCATAGCACTGTATCCAGATTCAACACTTGACCGGGAAATGACATTCTGTTTCTTGGTTTTCCACGAAACTAGATTCCCTCCAACCAACACACAATAGTCTGTCGTAGACCGCCTAGTAGTAGGATCCCCATTATAGTCGGCATCTGTGAACCATTCTATGACATAATGACCGTGATTTTGATGAAGGATACCAAGACCAGGAGCACCCTTTAGGTACTTCAGTATATGCCTAACAACGTCCCAATGTGGAGTTCTCGGAGACGACATAAACTGACTTCCTACACTCACTGGAAAAACGATGTCAGGACGTGTAATCGTCAGGTAGTTTAGCTTTCCCACGATTCTTTTGTACTTTAATAGGATCCTCAAGTAGATTTCCATCATCCGCTTTCAATTTCATATTTGGAATCATTGGGGCCTCACAAGGTTTTGTTTCAATCATACCAGAGTCATTCAGTATATCCAAACGATATTTCCGTTGAGACAAACATATCCCTTTTCGAGTATAAGATACTTCAATTCCCGAGAAGTATCTTAAAGGACCTATGTCCTTTGTTTGAAACCGAGATGCGAGGAAATCTTTTAGCGTCTTGATCCCAGTCTCATCACTCCCAGTAATCACAATGTCATCAACGTATGCCACTAGTACAATACATCCGGAAGATGACGAAGTAAAGAACACAGAAGGATCATAAGAGCTCCTCCGTAAGCCAAACTCAATCACTACAACATTAAACCGTCCAAACCAAGTACGAGGGGATTGCTTTAAACCATACAATGATTAACGTAGTTTGTAGACTCTAGCAGACTCCCCCTGAGCAACAAACCCAAGTGGTTGCTCCATATAGACTTCCTCATGTAAATCACCATGCAAGAAGGCATTTTCACATCCAGTTAGTGTAGTACCCAGTCGTAAGTAGCGGCTAATGAAACAAACAGGCGGATGGAGGGTACTTAGCCGCAGCCCGCAAGAGAGAATGTCTCGTGGTAGTCGACCCCATAAGTTTGAGCATATCCTTTGGATACCAATCGGGTTTTCAGACGAGCTACAGATCCATCTGGATTAACTTTCATAGTGAATACCCATTTACAGCCAATTGCCTTTTTGCCAACAGGTAACTCTACCAAATCCCATGTATCATTATGATTAAGAGCATTCATCTCATCAATCGTAGCATCCCGCCATCCAGGATGGGCCAAAGCTTCACCAACTGTTTTAGGAACAAATAAATAATCAAGTGTAGAGATCAAAGAACGAGAGCGTGAAGAAAGTTTATCATAGGAAAGAACAGAAGAAATAGGGTAAGTACATGAGCGCTTACCTTTCCGAAGAGCAATGGGAACATCAAGATTAGGAATTCCGTGTATCGGAAGGTGGTGGATCACTTGAAGCAAGAGGATCATCATTAGGCGGATCTGCAGCTGATGATGAAGATGGTGTTGGGTCGGGATCTGATGTAGGTCGTTGTCGTCTATTATATACATGTGATGTGGATTTGTGTTCATTGAAATTGGAGAAAATGGTGGGATTACTTGTCATCTGATCTGAAGCACTTGAATCAATGACCCATTTGGAGGCAGAAGATAATAGGCATGTACTAGAATTACCTGTCTCAGCAAATGTAGTGGTCGGAGCAGTGGAATTCTCAGTCCCTAAAAGTCTAGCATGTTCTTCTGTGGGTATAGTAACAGTACTATCTGAGGAAGAGGCAACGTGTGCTAATGAACTCCTCGGATGTCTGGCTAAAAGCTTCTTACATGTGCGCTTGGTGTGACCTAACTCATGGCAATAGTAACACTCAACATCATCAGAATCTAGAATAGTAGTCCGTGAATCAGTTGTTCGATCATTGTGACCACCTCTAGAGCCACCATGGTGACTCCCACAAAATCCTCCTTAGTAGCCACCACGAAATCCCCCTTGACCAACCAGAGCACTGTTGTGATCAAAAATTTGAGAAGCCTGAAGATTCTCATTCCTAAGAACACGGGCAAATGTTTCTTGAAGAGAAGGAATAACAGATTCATTCAAGAACTGAGACTGATAGAGTCAAGTTCTGGTCGCAAATCAGTCAAGAAACTGATAACAGCTACTTGTTCCCTCCAAGTCTGTATGGCTTTGACATCAACACTTAATGGAAGAAGAGAGTTAAGCTCCTCATACACTTTCTTGAGCTCCATGACATACGTAGTAAGTGACCGGTTCTGTTGTTCTCCACGATGAAAGGGCTTACAAACACTATAGATTCGAGAGATGTTACTTTGTCTAGAATACAAAAAATCAAGATAATCCATAAGTTCCTTCACATATTCACAGTGACTAACCAAAGGGGAACCAGAAGGCTCAATAGTATTGATAATTTGCAAGTACAAACGAGCATCACTTTGGAACCATGAATCAAAACCGTTACTGAGGATCCGATGTGAGATGAGAAGCCATTTCCATGCTCCGGAGATAGATACGAATAGTTTTGCTCCGCTCAAAGTAGTTGGAGCCATTAAGCTTGTTGTCGGTGAGCTTAACATTTACTAAAAGCATATTGGGTACACGTAAACTACTGTTTCTGTCAAATGTTTTGTCTTCTCCAGTTATCTTCCAATAAATCACAAACCAGAAGAGAGAACGTAGAACTTAGGATGAAAGTATAGCAAACCAGAAAGCTTGGTTTAAAAAATGCGCGCATAATGCGCTCCGTTGCGTGATGCGCTCCGATGCGCAAGAGGTAACGCATCAGAGGGGCTGATGCGAAGCGATTCCATGATGCTCTCTGATGCGGTCGCATCACCTATGCATCACACGATGCGTGCATCAGCGCATCCTGTATGTTTCATGTCTGGGCTCTTTTTTCATTCTTTAGAGGTTTTTAGTTGGACTTTTTGTAAACGTAATAATGACCTAATAAAATAGAAGCCCCTCTCAAGTCTCAAGTCGCATATCAGATTAAGAACATATACGTGAGTTGTGAAGATGATGAGTTGAGGTGGAAGCATATATTGGAGGGTTTGATAATGATGAGGGAGATGAACCCGTGTTGGGGTTTGATGATGCTGATCTTGGGGAGCATTAGTTGGTCACTTGGTCATTTAGTTTAGGGATTGGGGACTATTAGACATTTACTTGTGTTCTTCATGGTAGTAGTTTGTGTGTTTTGTTATTCCGATTCACAAACTTTTTAAGATTCTAATGCCACTTTTTGAACTACTTTATGTTATAAATGAAGTATTTTGATAGGTAAGTATTTTTAAGGTAGAAATTGATATGTAGAATTAATTTATAAGTATTTTTTGAATACCGGGCGCATCACGTGCATGATGCGAGCGCATCCACATCACGCATCATGCATAGGCTTCCGGGACCCTTACCGCCTCGGATCGCATCGCGCTTTTTAAAACCAAGCCAGAAAGCGAACGACGCACTCACAGGGTGCCAAATAGACGACGAACAGAGATGAGGATAATCGCACTCACAAGGTGCCAATAAACCGACGAACAAAAAACTTCCGACCCAAGGAAACTTGTCGACATGAAAAAAGAAAACGGTGAACAAAAATTTTGATCCAAGGAAAAAACGTACCAAAAAATTTCGATTTGCGAAACTAGTGATTGTTACGAAACCGAGCTCTGATATCATATAGAATTCTTTTTATTATTTCACTTGTCTCAAAAGAGGGATGTAGAAAGGCTATATATACCTAAAGAATATGAGAAGAAAATGAAAGGATTCCTAAGATATTCACAGCCGCAAATTACAAGGAGATGCAACCTATAATCTCCAATTCCTATTTTACAATGATATCGAGTATCTTCAAGGACGTTGAGTATCTTAACATTAATTAATGACATCGTCTTGTTCCACTAGTTGGTCTTTATTGAAACTTAGCTAAATTTTAGCATGCACTTTCTGTTCATGTGCTACTAATAAGTTTGGACTAATAAACTTCATGAAAAGAATCACATAAGTAAAGTCAGGATTTCAATTCATTAAAACTGATTTTATGACTTTGACAACCATGCTGTTAATGATGACGTCTAGTTACACCAGTCGGACGTCAAATTACTTGACTTTGAACATGTTAGTTATTGGTGGCAGCCTTGGTGAATTCTGAGATTTCCAATTATCACAGAAAGTCTAAGCGTATGTAATGCCTAATTATTGCAGGAGAAATGAGCTTCACCAGGTTGCTCAGCAAGCTTCAAACATTGAGGATTTAACCGAAGTCATACGAGCTTCACTATTTGTCATGTCTAAGCAATGGTCCGATGCGATGCACACATTTCATGACAAATTTGATTCCCTCTCTAATCTGATTCATGTCAATGGTAACGAGTAAAAACTGTAAAATTAATCACAATTGCTATCTTTTTGCTAATATGGTTTGACTTTTTATGACTTATTGAACGTAGGATTGGACTCAACTCCACAAGAGGAGTTTCTTAGCCTTTTAGGTGGTGCGCGTACAAGTCCAGCTGTTCACCAGTTTTTAGAGAATTCTCTTGGTGAAGCGGTATATCAATCTCTACTTCATTTTTATTCATTATAAAACAAAATTTGGGGGAAATCTTTTAATTGATGAAGGGTTATTGCTGATCAGGGACTCAAGCGGATAACGAAGTTGGTTTGTGGCGCTGGAAAGGAGCTTCAGGTTATAGTTCTTGAACATCTACAGGTATACTAATGTTGCTCAAGTTTGTAGTTGAATGACCAATTACTTCTAAAGAACACTGATGTGACCTAGAGAAATTTCTTTTTTCAAGCATCAAGGTTCTAAAAACCAGACCAGCCAGTTGGTTCAACCTTGAAAAAAATTCGTCTATGGTCTGTCTAAGTAATATAACTGGTGGCTTAATGAATCAGTTGAAGCTGTGAACTAGTTCAACCAGTGAATGGGACCCACAAGGTGCAATCTTAAATGGTCAAAACAAACTGAATTTTCTAAATGTTTTGGTCCTCAGCCTGCTGTAGAGATCATTGGATTTAGATTAGGAGAACTAAGAGGACTTTCCAAGTGGCGTTCACGTTATCAAGGTGTCGGCTTGGATGAAACTCTAATAGATAATGCAACAGAGAAGGCGGGTATGCTGCTAATTCAGGTTGAACGGTTTATGAGGGTTTTATCTGCTTCCGTCCAACAGGTGCCACTCCTTCTTGAAGTATACTTCTTTTGATTTCTTTTACATACAAGTTATTATATACTCTGTATCGTGATGAAGAGTGACCCTACTGCACCAAGGGATTAAAGAAGTCTTTGTGTGTAGCATTTTCTTTTCAATTGGCAAGGAGGGTGTTCCCATGACTTGGAACATGAGACCTTCGGGTCACAATTCACAAGTGGGTAACCTTATCATTTGCTCCAAGGCTCGCTATACTCTCGTTCCTATGAAAATTGCAACAACTTCCATTTTGGGATATCTTATACTTCCTCATTCCCAAAAAATTGTGTCCATATTTCTATTTTAGTTTGTCCTAAAATAAGTGTCCACCTTTAAAAGTGCCTACCCTTAATTATGAGATGAAGAGATTCATTACTCCCTCTATCATTAAGGGTAAAACTGTTATTTAGTTAATTGAAAAAGTATAACAATTACACATTTTTAGAACTCTGTGCGTTTTTCATTGTGGACATTTATTTTGGGATAGAGGGAGTAACAATTGCAATATATTCATTTCTCGGTGAGAAATAGGCGGAGAGGATGTGATTGACATGGTTGTGAGAATCTATGTATGTGATTGATAAATCTTTTTGTTGAGGTATGCAAACGGTAAGTTATAGAGAGTTCAACATTCACTTATTTATTTTCCCTTATAATTACATGAATGATCTTGATTTAAATCCACATAATTCTCTTAATTTATCATTATTAAAGGTCAATGTTAGTATTAAAAATAACAAGTCATACATTATAATTTTCATGGACATTTGGAGTATATAGTATTAGAAAAAACAAGTCTAAGTTCTTATTTTGTTTCTTGCAGTTTTCAAACTTCTTTAACTGGCTTCATAAATGTGTGAAAATGTTGATGTCAGAACCAAGTGATCAGCATCAGCTTCTCGCATTCAATAGGTTTGTTGTTGTTATCGATCCCATCTAACTTCTTTTGTTGTAGCTCTCTTTCTTATACTGATATTCAAGATTTTATGACATTTAAATCCCACTTCGATTTGGCAGTGAACTAGTTATTTTATTCTTGAAGTATCTATATGATCAAGATCCAGTAAAGCGGTTGCTCGAATTTTCCGAAGTTGATCAGAGTATTGAAGTTGACGTGTAAGTAACTTGTGCAATTCAAGTTGGATGACATTCTAAACAACAAGCTCAAATCTTTTTGACTCAAAAATGACATGCTTGAATTCTGTTTATATATATTTGATAAATATATACGCAATAAATCATTAAATCTACATTTTAACTGGTGAATCACTTTTACTTGATAATTTGTGAGTAGAAAGAAATATATCATCTATATTATTAGTGCCCTCCATCCCAAAATAAACAATAATTTTTCTATATGGGTTATCTTAAAATAAATTCGGAGGTTTTACCTTCTTGCCAAAATTTCAATTTGTGATCACCTTTCATCCATTCAATACAGGATTCATTTGTCTTTTCTCATTGTTGAGGGGCATTTGAGATATTCAACTAAAAGTCTTAACACTTCCATTGAACTATTTACCCTGTCAAACGTTGCATGCGTGTTAGAGGTTCCACTGAAACGTTTTCTATAAGATGTATATTAGTATCACATATGCTCTCTCTTATGTTTTCCAAGCTTGATTCTTCAGGGAGACTATGGAAAGAGTACAAGAATTGGCTCATTTTGGGGGTTTCACTGATTTTGATTACTTGCGAAGAACATTAGCAAAAGAATTTCAACAAGTGGAGTCTTGGTATGCTTTCTATTCTCTTCTCAACTTCAAATTGAGTTATAGTGGTACGGTTAGACCTTTGAAATAAAAAAAACTAATTTTATGTAGGAATATGTTGGTGTTAAGTGTATAACAAGATGCTTTTTGATTTTGAATGTGACTAGTTTCACCTAAAACTTCAGTTTTATTAGAACAGAAACACTAAAGAAATTTTAGGCCTTGTTTGGTAATACCTATGTTTTTTGTATTTTTATACTGTAAATGAAGATGTGACTTATGTTTAATAACGAAATCAAAAAGTATTTGACAAAGCTTTTTGCTTTAGGAAGATTTCATATATTTATATATGTATGCATATGTGTGTGTATAGAATTTATGTTGTTATTGGTTTTGAAGCTTCAATCTCTGTTGAAGTCAATCGTCAATGCCTGTTTATATTTGTAAAACCATGAAAACTTCAACTATAAACTTCTATTTACATATTTTATGAAGCGTTTTGATCTTCCTAAATTGTAAACCATTACCAATCACTGTTTTCTCTTGTCCAGTTTACACTCTTGAAAAATGTCTACAGAAACCAGAAATCAAAATGTTTCCAAATGACACTATATTATTCAAACATCCTCCTAAAGTAATGATATTCATCGCTGCAGTTTCAAAGAGGCCTTTAAGATGCCTTTCACTACAATTTCCAAAAAGATACTCTGCCAGAACTTGTTGCCATTTTTTCCGGTCGATCCTTTGCCAAAATCTGCATCATCCACTGTTCCAACATCCATATCATATTACAAGGTATGTTTTGGCTTTTTCAGGATGCTAATAAAGAACCATTATCAGTGTCTTTTGGACCCCATCTCGCATCATTATTCTCATAGAACATTGTCGTTATTAATTTGCTATTCGATTGTATGCAGGGTGGTGCAATTGAAAAACAAGAGCGCTTTGTTGATTATGTATCTTTTAGATTACCTGATGAGCCTTCCTCAGACCTTGCAAATTGCATAGTTGTTACAAAATGTTCAATGAACGACTTACAAGCTGTTTTGTTATGTGTTCCTGATGGCTATCAGTGTGTTGATCTCTCTTTATATAAGGTAATTCACATGGCACTCCAACCTTCCTTGGACTTTTCAAAACTTTATCATCTGTCTCTCTCTCTCTCTTCGCCTTTACGGAAATAGCCGCTCTACTCTTTGGGGTAGATGACAGGTTTGCGTGAATCTTACTCTCCCCAGACCCCACTTCGTGTGGGATGTACTGTGTTGTTTGGTTTGGTTTACATGGCACTCCAGCTAACATCTAATGGTAGCAACAACAAGCTTTTATTCAAAGTAGTAGCAGTATGAACAAATAAAATCCATCAAAAAGATTGAATTGTTTTCTTTGCTCTTCTACAAGTCTCAAACAATTGCACCATTGTAACTTTTTCATATTGAATCAACTTTATGGCCTTTCTTTAGGATGCGGAACCCTCACTTGGGACTTATAGCTTTTTTTACATAATCCATACAAATTTGGACTCATCGTAACTTTTTGATCCAACCCAAGCTCTTTGTTCCATGACATTTTACAACATTTGGCTCCGTATGGATAAACGACACGCACATTTGCTGCCCTAAGGCAATAAACAAATGTGAAACACAAACTGCAGGATGTCTAGATTATCCCGACGAAGTCTCAACCCGTTAAATAAGTCCACGACTAAGTATGTAGTTTAATGCAAGTTTTGACTTTTAGTCAAATGTTTAAGATACCCTTTAGGATGACGCAAAAATGGCATAATGTTTAACCTTGAGGTTCAGCTCAATGCAAATAAAAGCCAGGCCAGGCCAGGCCATGGGTAGCAGTTCAAATCTCCTCAGAGACGCTGGGGATTTTTCTGGCTGTTATCTTCGGGGCCTCATTGGGAATAGTCGAAGTGCATGTAGGCTGGCCCGAACACCCATGCTCACCAAATAAAACGGAAGAATCTTGTCAACCAATTCCAATGATCATTCATTAGAATGATGTAAATGAGTACTTTTAGCTTGAAACTTTGTCAAAAGGGAAAATGTTGTAACTTTCTTGGGATTGGGAGAGTACTGTTTCAAAAGGTAATGCAGGGGAGACGAGTGAAGTTACTTTCTTAACATGCTGCTGATAACAGGAATGTCAACTTGTTTTACTATTGAATGGGCCGTCTTCCGTTTCTGAAAGCTCAGAGAAGGCTTGTATGATGATTGTGCATGCCGATGATCTTCCATTTGTATCTTTACCCAGTTCCGGTGCATCAAGCCCTTGGAAATTGGAGGAACTTAAGGTACAGATTCTCTAAAAGTGTCGAACTTGGAAAAGCATTTTTCATTTCAATTTGATCTCAAGCTAAAAACCTACCATTCTTTTAGGACGTTAATTTTTTTCTGTTTCATGGGTCCCATATATTTAGTGAGTGAGACAAGAACAAATATGTGAGTATGAGTACTATTTGCTCTAATCGGGAAGGGGATGGGACCCGGACCCACATAATGAAAAATGAAGAAAGAAAGAGAAACTAGCATAATAGCATCCACAATAGAGCTTTTTGGCCACATAGGATAGTGAAAAAGCTTCTGACATAAAAAAGCCATTTTTGCTTGTAATCGCACAAGCTCTCAATAAGCTTGTTTTGCTTTGCCACCAAAGCCTGCCTGTGGGTCCCACTTTAATGAAAAGCTTACCATTGTGGATTCTCTAAACCAATGACGTCTGCCTTTGAGTTATCAATCTCATTTGATAATCGTGTTTCCCTAAATCTTGATATGATGTTCCTACCAGGACTCAATTGTATACTTGCAAATGGATAGTTTGAAAGTACGAGGGATTCCTCACAATGTGATCGCTCCTTTAGCAGTTAGCGGTGAGTACCTCTTTCAATGAATCCTAGATCCCATCCCTAGTTATGTTATGTGCATTTGCTATATGCCATCATGTACCATCATTTGTTTTTCAAAAACAGAGATACAGCTCGGATATGACCTTTCTTCGATAAAGAGTTGAGATTTTTTCGAACCATCAAATATGGCTTATGTTGCCAACAAACCATTATTTTTGCGAAATGCAAAAAGAAGAAAGAAAAACGCCACCATTTTCAAGTATGATTTTAGAAATATGCAGTCAAATACGATGTTTCTCTCTGCATTTACGTTTTCAGAATTTGTTCGAAATTGCTCGTTGCATACTATAGCATTTTCTTGGCATTTTCACAAGAAAATGGTTAGATTCAAATGAGATGTTTAGATACATCTAAAATGATATATTATAATTTCTTAAACTAGTGATCTGTAAAACCGAAGCATCTTAAATCCGAAATAAGGATGGTGTGGTTTTGCACATGTCAGTGTAAAATGTCGCCATATTTGTATGTTATTGTATTATTCATCTCTACCCTTTTTGTCAATTCTTATCTCATGTGCACAATTTCACAAGCCCATGGTCTTTATAGAAACAACCGTTTTTTATTCTTTTGAGGTAGATGTCATTTGTATTTTGATTTGATTTCAGCATCTAGAGGCGTTGCTTGTGTCTTTGCAACAAGAAAACGAGCTCTCGTTTACATCCTGGATGAAGATGAAGATGAAATCTTGGATGCAGAATAGTTTCATTTTCTTTGTTATCTATTCATTTCTTTTTGACGATTTTTCTTCTTTTATGTGTATACAGATGAATTTGGGGAATTTTCTGTATCCAAATTTAAGTTTGTAGATTTCCCTTTTGGAGTAATTATATCATAAACCATCTAGTTTTAAGGAGCATTGAAACCCGATATAATCCAACAAGTGTTCTCAAGCGGTTCATAGAGTTGGTTCTTTTATGATTTGCCTCTAACGGGTTTGAATCATGGAATAGTTTTTATATGGACCAGTAGTCGTAGGGATGGGGTAAGGCTAGTGAAATGTCCAAATCATACAAATTCAGAAATAATCTTCAAGATGAAGATCAATAATATGAGTAGAGAGAATTTTCACCAATCTTCAATGTATTTCTTGAGAGAAATGATTACAACTCTAAATCAGATTAATTGCAAAACTAATTACAATTAGAAAGCTAATCCCTATTCATACTAAGAAAACAGTAAATGCTTAACTATTACAAAGCAATATAAAAGGAGAACTTGAATACAACATTAACGCACATACTGGAACCCAACAATCTCCCCCCTTTGGATTCAAGTTTGAACTCTTGTAAATCTTGTCTTTCTGAGTCCGAGCAGTTTCTCCAGCCTCCTCAGTGCATTCCGATATTGCAATTTTTCTTCAAGCAAATTCAAGGCATTTATCAGCAAGTACCTTTCCTTCGGACTCATCCTCTCCGACTCCGCAACTTTATCATTATTAACTCTCCTCGTATCCAACGCCCGTCTCACCATATGAATAGTACCATCAGAGTACTTGTTTAGCTCACTGAATCTCATGAACTTCTTTATCCGACCCTCAACATCGTATATCACCCCGAACTCCGGTTGTTCAAGAATCATGTAGAACGGATAAGCTTCAATGTCTTCTAGCTCTTGATCAGGTCTCTTCAAATTGATGATTCTCTGATTATCTTCAAGTCCCATTTGGACATCAATAACCATAGAAACTTTGACGTGACTGCGCATAAACCTTTTGATCGCATCAAGAGCCACAAGAACTCCTTTTCTGTTCGTCATATTCCGGATTTCGTGGTAAATATACTCCAGATCTTCTAAATACAAATTTGAGAAATCAGCTTCGCTAAACCTCCAGACCTTACCATCTTGTCGTGTCAATGTGAATACTAGATACCAGACTCTGAGAAGTCTTTGAGCATCAATTTGTTTAATTGACACAACTCTGTGTTTGGTCCGAACTTCATTGATCGGGAGACGCTTGGCTTTGAGGAAATGCTTATACTCCAGATGATAATCTTTGGATTCCTTGTGGATACCAAGGATCTTATCAGCACTTAGAGCTTTTCGGTGCCGGAGGAAGATGCCAAAATAGATGTCTTCAAGATAAGGCTATCTGATTCTTGCCCTGTCATAGCCCGGAAAGTTAGTTCGAATTGCAAATGGCACATAATTCTTTGTAAATATTTCGGTCGGATCAAATGGCTCTCTAGGAGTATCGGATGCACTAGCTTCAACTGTAGTGGAGGGTTCCGACAATGTCTTGACGATCACCCTGAAATAGGAATACTGGGTCTTCATCATTGATGTCAGCTTCAAAGTCAAAATATAACCCAGATGATTCGTCAATATTATCAATATCTTCTCCGAAATCCTGTTCTCCACCCAGTACAGTAGCAAAAACATCATTAAAATCAACATTGGCTGACAAGTCCAGTAGCAACCTTGTTCCTACCGTGGAGTCCGCCGGCTTTTCAACCATTGGCTCGATCACTGGACTTGTCTCCAACACTTCATCATCTTCCACAATAATCGGCTCGGTAGTTATTTCCCTTGTAGACTCAAGAACAGAACTTTCTACGTTAACGTCTTGAGTAGCTGGCTTTCTTTCAACAGTTAGAGCGCGAGCAGACGACTTAGCCACCCTTTGTCTTTTTCTCTCCCCCTCATGATGATCAGGATCATCCGGATCATCATGCCTTCGTTTGAGTGAGGTGGTCTGAGCTCGGCAAGTCTCTTCTAAAATAGATACCCGTTCGAAAAGGGCATCAATTGAACTTTTAAGAACTTGGGTGTTTGATGTGATTAACTTATTGACTTTAGAGAAGCCAGAAGCAACCACATCCTGAAAGGCCAAAAAGGCTCGAACATTGGGGTTTTCATCAATTTGTTGTCTCAGGAGCCCAACCAAATCTGCATATTCTGCATTAGGATTTTGGGATGACATCAGTTTAGCGTATAATAAAGATTTAAGCTCGTCCACCGATTGCTCTTGTACCGTCGGAGGCTTAGGTACAGGCGGTGGTGATGGCGCAAATGGTTGATCTTCTTCTACTTGCTCCTTCCTCTTCAACAGTCTTTTGATACTTGCAATTTGAGCATCCATGTTGTCTTGAACAACCTTTACGGCGCCGTCCAAATATTCCCTTGACACAAAGTCTGGTAAGCTCACACCTGGATCACTTAGATTACCAGTTGAGACAACATTTGAGTAAACTGTTGTGCCTACGTTCAATGTTGGCAAAGTGGTAGCACTGGTAGGACTTCCGACCGGTCCTCGTGGGAGGTCAATTGACACCACTATGGTCGTTTCGACGAGTTCACGAAGAACCGCAATGGGAGCAATAGATGCTCGAGACTCTTGTGTACCTAAGTGTATCGGCTCTAAACTCGATGTGCACATAATCGAAGTCGTAGGCTGGGGCAACGGCCTACTTGTTTCAATAACTACATTCTCCAAGTGAGAAGTAGATATCATATGTGCTAAGTCCTTGTGATGAAATGAAACAACAGGTTGTTGAGAACCAGTTGAGTGGTCAGGTTGGGTGTGCAGGTGCATAGCTGGGCTAGCTATGTCTTCTTCAATACCAACATTCAACGGATGAATGTTGATAGCAGATGTGGGTGTCTGGCTATGTGTATCCGCTCAGATAGGAGCTTGATCTTGATTTTGTGCTCCACTCTCACACTCACCATATTTTTCTGCTTCCCTCTCACTCAACCTCTCAGCATTTTCAACTTCAGCTCCCTCATCACCTCCTACTGGAATATCTGACATATCTTCCAGCATACGATCATAGTCATCAGGTCTGGCTCCAAAATCATCAACATTAAACGATAGAGAACGCATACTTGGACAAGTCTGTGGAGCTTCAAACTCTGTAAAAATATCATCAATGTTATCAACCACTGCTCCAAGTTGAATATTCTATGAAAGAATCGATTGAGCAGGGTTGTCAGCATCATCATCATCATCATTGTCATTGTCATTGTCATCACCCTGAGCTGCCTGGTTGTCGGATATTGTATCTTCCGAACTTGAAGAAGTCGAGGAATTACTATCTGATGAAGTACTGTGCTGATCAGAGGCTCCCCGCTCCTCATCACTCCTCTCAATTACGTTTTCTCTCATCGCACAACCCTGTTCAGGTAACCTGTGTTCCTGAACACTCTCACCTACAGCTATACCCCCTCTCTCAGCTGAGGCATGGGGTGGTCTCGGGGTAAGTTCAACCGGTTCTGGCTGAACTATAGGATCTATCACTCGTCTATAGTCTATAACGCACTGAGCCCTCTGATCAGCGAAGGCAAAAAGCTCAGGTGGAATCTCCATGATTGAATTCAGATCTTCAACTTCAGTATGTTGCCGAATTCTAGTCATGACAAACGTCGGCCCCATTTCACTGCTAGCTCTGGCCGGGATGTCTTCGTTTGAGTTCATCATGGCTTTTATGAAAAGTTGCAGAAACCGTTGAAAAGGCACGAACTTTCTGGCTTTTGACAGAAATCTCTTAGCATTAACGAGCTCGACCAGTTCATTCCATATGATGACGACATAATCGTATTTGCGCGTAAAGACGATCCCATGGAAGAACTTCAGAAATGAACTACTGCATGTGTCGATTCCCGCAGTTTTTGACGTCAGGCATCTGTTGAGGATTGAGAATAGTAGATGCCAGATTGACGGTAGGAAACGTCGTTTGAATTGAGACGGGTTAGTCATCTCTTGCGAGTATCCTAACTGTTTGATGTCACAGCAGAGTTCGTCGTCAGTCACAAGAGTTTCAAACCCTGTGGAGCCCGGTCCAGGAAGCCGTAGTATTCTTCTAAGTCTTTTTAATGTCAATAGGTTGACATACTCGTCTACGCTTCCTTCAAAATATAAAGTTTCTCCGTCTTTGGCCAATGTAAGTGTATTCCAGAACTGCTGTAGATATACCATGGGAACTGGTGTGTGGGCAGAAAGGGAATAGGAAATAGGGTGTCCACACAGGATTTCTGGGATTATTTGATATTCGTCAGGCATATCGAAGTTGAATGAATAGTTGTTCGGTTTGATTTCGAGATATTGGTATTGTGGGAATAGAGTTTCTGCGGGTATAAGTTGGTTTAATGGCTAGGGAGGGTTAGTTAGATTGTCAGACCTGACAGAAGGAATGTGAGATTCCTCGTCAGACTGATGTTGAATATCCGTCATTTACCTGTAAAATATCTAAAATATTAGATCCCGAATTAATAGTACAATGTGGATTTCTCTAAATCAAAGTAATTTTTTTTTAAAAGAAATTGAAAAAACTAAAAAAAATCAAGATTTAAAAAAACCCGTATTTTTGGCGTAAATTGCTACTTTTTGCTGTAATTGTCTGCTTTGTCTATCGACTTGTCTTGATCCGCTTCCTAGTGTCGGTTGCACATTCAACATAGCGTTCGGACTCAATCCAAGCCAACCCACATTACTGACTAACGGTGGATAATCAAATTTCTTATCTATATCTGTGCACGGAAGGGCCGGCGGGGTGCTGTTCTGCTTAAAACTAGGCTAGGAAATGGGTTTTTTTAACAAAACTAAATTTTTTTTTTAACTAAAACAAAAAAAAATCGACTAAAAATAAATTCTAAAAAATCTTAAAAAATATTAAGAGAAAAAGGAAAAATTTTTAACTAATTTTTTTTAATAAAACTAAAACTAAAAAAAATTAAAAAAATTAAAAAATCAACCGGATTACTAATCCGATCAACAAGAGAAACAAAAAAAATACTAAGTCAAAGATCTAAACCGGACAAAATTATCAACCGGATTAAGGTTGATCGGAGTAAACTCCGGTCACCTTCTCCGGTGAATAATCCGGCCAAGACACAGAATCACTAAATCGATCAAAA